TATACACATTTATAGCATATATAATTATTCTAAAATAAACCTATATGTTAAAAGTCCAAAACTAAGAATCTGTTTTCATATCCAGGTGACTTACATCTGGTGACTATGGTGGTATCCAGGTGGCATCCCTCTCCTTGACTAAATATACCTGAATCCTTTTTTTTTTTTTGAAACTGAGTCTCGTTCTGTTGCCCAGGCTGGAGTGCAGTGGTGTGATCTTGGCTCACCGCAACCTCCACCTCCTAGGTTCAAGCAATTATCCTGCCTCAGCCTCCTAAGTAGCTGGGATTACAGGTGTGTGCCACCACACCTGGCTAATTTTTGTATTTTTAGTAGGGACAGGATTTCGGCATGTTGGCCAGGCTGGTCTCAAACTCCTGACCTCAGGTGATCTGCCTGCCTCAGTTTCCCAAAGTGCTGGGATTACAGGCATGAGCCACTGCACCTGGCCATATATCTGAAACCTTTTGAAGAAGTGATGAGAAGGGAGGTTCAGGTCATGTCTGAATAGGAATGATGCATATACATCAATATAAGTTTATATAATCCTTGATGGTATTATCATCCAAACACTTTAATTAAAACACAAGTATTTTCCCTTTATTCATCACAGAACTGTCTGTTTCCTTACATTGGTACATGGAGAAAAGATAAATTTTGTAACCTTTGTTTTTAATTTTATTTACTTTTTTGAAACGGAGTTTAGCTCTTGTCACCCAGGCTGGAGTGCAATGGCGTGATGTCGGCTCACTGCAACCTCTGCCTCCTGGGTTCAAGCAATTCTCCTGACTCAGCCTCCCGAGTAGCTAGGATTACAGGTGCATACCGCCACATCTGGCTAATTTTTGTATTTTTAGTGGAGACAGCGTTTTGCCATGTTGGCCAGGAAAGTCTTGTTCTCCTGACCTCGTGATCCACCTGCCTCAGTCTCAAAGAGTGCTGGGATTACAGGTGTCCGCCACCATGCCCAGCTAATTTTTGGATTTTTAGTAGAGATGGGGTTTCACTGTGTTGTCTAGGCTGGTCTCAGACTCCTGACCTCAGGTGATCCACTTGCCTCAACCTCCCAAAGTGCTGGGATTACAGGCATGAGCCATCACACCTGGCCTTTGATTTTTTATTTTAATGATAAAGTTTTATATTGGATCACAATGCTTCTGCAGTTGTTCTGTTCTCTATGCCATATATATGGGACTTATGGAGACCGAACATTCTCATATAGAGTCTGATGAAACAAGTGTGACCTCATAATTATGTATTAACATTGTTTAAAATAATCAATAGATCAGCAAGACGTACTATCACTTTTTTATTTGGCAGTAATAGTAATACATCCATGTTACAGTGCTTATTTTGGCTAAAGAGCCAGTGCAATTTTTTTGCTACTGTAGTGTTTTACTTTTACACAAATTAATGAGTGCGGTCCTTACATTTATGAAATAGAAACACTTACTGATAGCAGCCAAGTGAAGCTAACACATGGTTGTTCTCAAACTAAACAAAACAATAACATAATCGTTAGGAACAAAGTAGGAATGTTCTTATTTCCATTAATCACAGATTTTATATAAATTCTTAAATGTCACATACATATTTCTTAATCTGACTAAGCAAAAAAAAACCCTGAATTCAGCTTAATTCCTATAATCATTTTGAAATTTACATCAAATAATTTCTGAGTATATATTCACATTAAAATAAAAGTAAATGGGTTATATAAACGTTAAAATTTCTGATTATGAAAAGTTATAGAGAAGTTCACTAAATGTTACTTTGGCATTCCTATTTCCTAGGCTTACAGGAATTACTAAGAATTCCTTTGCAATGCAAATAATCACTCTCTTAGAAATTAAATTTAAGTAGAAAATGTTACATTTTAAGGCAAGAAAACATTTGTATATATTTTTATAAAGTCAGTTAATTCAACAAATCAACAGAATCATAGTAAATGGATGCAAATAAAGAATATTACTTTATGAGAAAAACAAAGTTCTTTGGAGCTTACTGTTAAATGGAAAACTTGTCTTCTTTTTTAAAAGATAATTCTGTTATGATACTTAATAAACATAATCTTAACCTTCAAGAAGAAGTAAGTACTTTAAAGAGTACTTACTTAAATAAGTACTTAAAAGAGTTGAACAAAAATGTAGAGAAATCAAAATATAAAAAAGAAAATTAAAAGAAATACCAAATGTAAATTGCCTGAAAATTGATCTTCTTTCTTCCAAACAAAAGGCCATTTTCTCAGGACTAACTAATTAAAGGCCCTCTTATAATTGACATATGGAAGTGGATGGTGGGATGTATAGTAGCAAGGGCAATTTCCTGCTAATACTACCACTAGTCAGTGTTTAAACAGGGTTTACCCTAAAAGGCTCTAAACTAATAATTTTTAAAACATTGCTTTTGCTACTTAACCTAGTTTTAAGGCAAATGGAAACTATTACATATGTCTTTTTTTTTTTTTTTTTGAGATGGAGTTTTGCTCTTGTTGCCCAGGCTAGAGCGCCTTGGCACAATCTTGGCTCACTGCAACCTCCACCTCCCAGGTTCAAGGATTCTCCTGCCTCAGCCTCCTGAGTAGCTGGGATTACAGGCACGCGCCACCATGCCCAGCTAATTTTGTATTTTTAGTAGAGATGGGGTTTCTCCATGTTGGTCAGGCTGGCCTTGAACTCCCAAAGTGCTGGGATTACAGGCGTGAGGCACTGCGCCTGGCCTGTTATCTGTCTTAAGTACCCTTCTGCATTCAGTCAGAAATGTTCTCTCAAGAGGACATTTCCTTTAAAAAGTTCAAGTTTCTTCTCTCACAATAGAGAGGTTTTTCCTATACTTATTATCCTGAAATTCTATTTGGTCACTCTTACCTCTTTTGTGAAAGGCCACAAAGAAAGCATCTTGCTAAAGTAGCAGATACTGAACTGACCAGAAACAAACTCAAGCACTGAATTTGACAAACCAACCTCCTGAATATAAGCAACTTTTCAAAGATGAAATGTAAAAGAGAAAAACAAACAACAAACAAAAAACAACACCTTCTAGAAAGCCATTCAACTTATCTCATAAAATTAATTCCCCAGAGTTATCCCACATAGTAGCAGCATTATCAAATAGTGCAATTCTTCAAAACTGATTTCAAATAATATCTTTCTAAAATAAAAAAGTAATTATGCTTACTTACAGCTTTTCTTATAAAACCACAGCTTAAAACACTTAGCCCTCAAATGGGTAAATCAATATAGGCAATAACTGCCTTGTCTACGTGGTAATGAAATGCATGTGCACACACACATGTCTGTGTATCATTCAAGACCAGCGATACCGCAGCAAGGTAAAAACATGGAATGTTAAAAAAAAAAAAAAGTAAACAGTAAATAATGGAATTTTTAGTTTTGGTACTTCTCATCATATTCCCATCAATAAGAAGAATTATAAATAGGTAATTGTTCAATTAAGCATCTATGTAAGAAAAGTCTAGGAGCTATATACTACAGAACAGTGATAATTTGTATTTTAATGCCAAATAACCTACAAAGTACATGCAAAACAGCATGATTCTGAATATTTTGTAGTTAATTTACACAAATATGGCACATACAGAAATTAAAAATCTTAAAAGATTATGCTCCCCCCCAAACACTTTTCATCTTCTATTTATTAATCAGAAACTAGGCACTTTAATCTAAAAATTCACTTTTTAAAGATGCATTTTAGGAGTCAGAGATGGTGACACATGCCTCTGGTGTGAGAAGCTGAGACTGAGGTGAGCACACTGCACTGCAGCCTGCGCAACAGAGCGAGACCCCGTCTCTTAAAAGAAGAAAAAAACCAATGCATTTTAGGTCCTGTTGTGCAGTTCACTCCTAAAATGAATAAAGCCCATTTTAGGAGCAAACAAACAAATCTACTCTACTTACATACTAAGTTAGCCACTCCAAATAAGTGGCATATTATTTAGAAAAAAAATTAATACAACTCTGAAAGCATTTAATATATTCTTACAGAAGAACCTCACTCATAAAAACAACTCATTTGTTTATAGGTTTATCATAATGAACATAAAATATATACTTCCATATCATTACAACATTTTTGTTTTACATTCAAGGGAGGAAACAAACCCTTCTTTAAAACGTCAATAATATTCAAAGTGTGAATATTTTAAAAATATGGGCATAATATGACAAATTCCCACTGTGCTGAGTTTTCTGTGGGAATAACTAAAAGGCAGCTTTGTAGGAGAAAGGAGAAATTATTTTACTCTACCAAGTTTTATACCTTCAGATGTTGACAGTCTCCAAATAATATTAAATTTTAAATTACCTTTATTAATTAATAAATGTTATCTTTTTAATCAATACTCCAGGGAAAAAATGCTCTAATGTATAAAAAGAAAGTTCTTCAGTCTCTTTGTAACTTACAGGACCAACAGTAACATATTTCAGAAGCTACAGTTAATATAATATAAATTTGTAAACTGTAAATTTCTCAATGTCAATTCATTTAAATGTTTTATTTTATTTATTCACTTTTGAGATAGGGTCTTACTCTGTTGCCCAGGCTGGAGTGCAGTGGTGCAATCAGGGCTCACGACAGCCTTGACCTTCTGGACTCAAGTTATCCTCCCACCTCAGCCTCCCAAGTAGCTGGGGCCACAGGCACAAACCACTATATCCCACTAATTAATTTAATTTAATTTATTTTTTGAGACAGAGTCTCACTCTCTTGCCCAAGCTGGAGTGCTGTGGTGCGATCTTGGCTCACTGCAACCTCCACCTCCTCGGTACAAGCAATTCTCCTCTCTCAGCCTTCCTAGTCACTGGGACTATAGGCACACGCCACCATGCCTGGCTAATGTTTGTATTTTTAGTACAGATGGGGTTTCACCATATTGGTGAGGCTAGTCTCGAACTCCTGACCTCAGGTGATCCGCCTGCCTTAGCCTCCCAAAGTGCTGAGATTACAGGCATGAACTACCATGCCTGGCCTATTTAAAAAAAAAAAAAATTAATATTTCCATGGAACTCTGCTTGATACCACCTAATTTATTTTTGTATTTGCGTAGAGATGGGGGGGAGTTCTCCTGTATGTTGTCCAGGCCAGTTTAAACCACCGGGCCTCAAACTATCCTCCTGCCTCAGCCTCCCGAAGAGTTATGGGCATGAGCTACCACAAGTGGTCCATTTAAATGTTCTATAACAATATTCAGTGATTACAGTTTCTTTGATTCAAATACATAAGCAAATGCACAAGCAATAATGTATGCAGTACATACTAAACATCATTACTGCCTAAACTTGATTCAACAAATTAATAACTTTATAATTAAAAATACGTTTCTAGGCAAAGTTAAATACATTGACACTAGAAGTAGTATATTCTTGCACATGTGGGCCACAAAGATCTTGGCTAACATGTATATTTTCAAGGTGCAAAGCAGAAAAACAGCTTTTGAGAATGACAGCTTCAAGACGACAAACCAATTAACTCCCAAATATTGGCTTCAATTCAAGCAATATTTCTGTAAAATACACAACATTTCGTGACTTTGATTATTACCTAATGAGTGTAAAAAGCCACTTTGAATACACTACACAGGAATTCAATGACAGAACTATTGTATAAATACAGTACAGTTGCTCATTTTTACTAGATTTTTTTTCCTCCCTGAATCCACATGCACCAATTCTGTTGATTTTGTTTGTGTGTTACAAAATCAATAGTTACCTTAAAATATTTCATAGCACACTCAAACTGTATGATCCTTATGGTACTTATTGTACTTTGGCTTCCAGTAGCCCAGGAGGCATAACATGACCGTGACTACTTAGACAACTACTCATATGCCTCAGGGCATCTGCTTCAAGATAGGCCATTAAAAGCTCAGTGCGGCGAATGAGTAACTGCTTGAGGTCTTCAGCCAAAGTCTCTGCACTTGAATAACGTACCTTCTCAAAGTCAAAAATGTCTTTGAGAAATAAAAGAACTTGATTCTGGAAAATGGACATAAAACAAATTGGCATTTATTAGACCAAAATCATGTTACATTGAAAAAGCTTCTAATATTATAATGAGCATTGAATCGGGAATCAGAAGAACTGACTTCCAGTGCTAGCTTCATATTTCACTTCCAGTGCTAGCTTCATATTTCATTAGAAAAGGAAACTTGCACAAGTGATTTAACCTTTCCTTTTTGGAGGCTCATTTTCTTTTTCTGTGAAATAAGGGATAATACCGTCCATCCTACTTACTACTCAGGGATGACATGATGATCAAAAAAGACAATGTCTGTGATAGCATGAAGAGGTGGGGAAACATTTTAAGAAAGATAGTTTATAAGAAGTGCCTGTAAACTCTAAAGAACTGTTTAAATGTAAGGGGTTATAGTCCTTTCCCTTCAATGTGACCTTTGAGCATTGCTTCTACTCTAAGACAGAACAATAAACTATTTCTAATAATAGTTTTGAATAAATAATAAAATAATACATTATAATTTTAAATGTGCATTTTTTTGTACAAAAAAAAAAAAAAAAACCCTTAAGGCACATGAAGAATAAAGAACATTTCAGGTCTCAAATCAGTGGTAGATCCTGAAGGATATTTCATCACTGTAAGCAAACTGTAGACTACTAAGTCTCGGCTGTCATGTCACCATAATAGAAAAAAATTTCAAAGAATAAAAAAGAGGAATATCGCCGGGCGCGGTGGCTCAAGCCTGTAATCCCAGCACTTTGGGAGGCCGAGGCGGGTGGATCACGAGGTCAAGAGATCGAGACCATCCTGGTCAACATGGTGAAACCCCGTCTCTACTAAAAATACAAAACATTAGCTGGGCATGGTGACGCGTGCCTGTAATCCCAGCTACTCAGGAGGCTGAGGCAGGAGAATTGCCTGAACCCAGGAGGCGGAGGTTGCGGTGAGCCGAGATTGCGCCATTGCACTCCAGCCTGGGTAACATGAGTGAAACTCTGTCTCCAAAAAAAAAAAAGAAAAAAAAGAGGAATATCTAATTTCTATCTTCCAGAAACGAAATGTTATTAAGAAGTACTAAAAAGACACACTTCATTGATTCACTAGATTTTATATCTGAAAGGGTCATTAGCAATCAACCTGTTAGGCCCCCTCATTTCATAAATAAAAAAAGGAATATCAAAGAATGATTTGCCACAAGTCAGAATGCTCACTGATGAGAGACTTAATTCCCTACCCCTAAAACACATTCCTTACACGTGGGTGGTAAACTACAAAAATCAATGTGTTGTGAATGACAGTAAAATAAACATTTCTAAACCATTTATACAAGTATTACCTTGACAGTGCATAAACATACTTTTAAAAAATGAATGGTATAGTAAAGTAAAACATCTAAACTTTCGAATTGATAATTATGTTTAACATTTGCTCCTTGAAATGCAGCCTAAACTCAAGATTATTACACAGAGAGACTTTCTTTGTCACTTTGCCAGCCAGAAAGTTCTACAAGGAGCTACAACTTGTATTTTGGTAAACTAAAATTGCTGACATTGGGATAGAATGTTAAACTCCCATGTTATTTCTCACAATTTGGATTTTATTATTCATCTCACCTTTAACCACAACTTATTCTATATTACCACATGTGCAATAAAGGTGGATATTGTTTGTAAGTTTCAAAAGTGCCCAGGCATGAAGAACCAACTATCTGCATCACTTTGACTGTCACATGGCGACACCATGCAAGACCATGTATCCCTTGCACTGGGGAATTGATAAGGTGAATGGATTTGCTGAGTCTACTCCAGAATAAAGTACCAAATCTATAAAATACTGGTCCACTATAATAATGGTGGTATTATAAAATGCCAAAAATATTTAATACTGGCATTTAAATGCTGAATTTAGGTGACTTTTGTAACTTTACTCTTAAATAACATTTGTTCTTCAAAAAATGCAAAACAAAACAGAATAAAACCTTATCTCCTTTTTGATTTAGAAAAAGAAGGAAATGATTCAATGACTGAACATACCTTAAAAAAGCAACATAAATCATAGAGAGAATTTCTAGGACCCAAAAAGCCCCAGGCTAGGACAGGGCTGATGTGTTCACAAATGGCATAAAAATGGGCAAAAAATCCATCTGGGATCTGTTGGAAAGTAAAAGAGAATCAAGTTATTTCTACCTTCTTGTATTTGCCTTCTCTAGTACAGAAACTAAAGTTGTTATTTATTATATGACCAGTTGGAGTTTAAGAATTTTTTTAGAACCACAGTCTGGCAACACCTCAAACTCCTGGCCTCAAGCAATCCTCCTGCTTCAGCTTCCTGAGCAGTGGGGACTACAGGCACGCACTACAGTGCAAGGCTCATGACTAGCTCTTTTTGAGGGCAAACCAAGAGTCAAACATGAGCCATGCGATTAAGAAAGTCAATAAGGTTACAAGTAACGTTTAGAGTCATAGAACGTTTGGGACTCCAAGTTTGGATCCCCTTCCACGAACACTCTTGCGGAAGCTGTTTTTCTCTCTCCTGGATTTTCCCTTTGGAGTCCCCTTCCACACACTCTCGTGGAAGCCTGTTTTCCCTCGTAAACTCCATCTCTCTCTATTCCCTTCCACTCAGTGTGGAAGCTGCTTTCCTCTCCTGGATTCCATCTTTCTGGATTCTGTCACTCAGTGTGAGAGTTAGCTGTTTCTCTCTCCTGTTTCTCTCTCTCTAAATAAATAAACCACTTCTACAAACACTGTAAAATTATAAAACAAATAAAAAAAGAGTCATAGAATGTTTTATGTAGATTTCATATCCTAGCCAACAGTTTCAGATGTGCTGAGACACATTTCTTTATTTGTTGTTTGTTTTCTTGAGACAGGATCTCACTCTGTTGCCCAGGCTGAAGTGCACCGGTGCAGTCACGGCTCACGGCGGCCTCAACTTCCCAAGCTTAAGCGATCCTCCCACCTCAAAATCACACGTAGCTGGAACCATAGGTGCACACTACCTCTCCTGGCTAATTTTTTCTATTTTTAGTAGAAACAGATCTCACTATGTTGCTCAGGCTGGTCTTGAACTCCTGGGCTCAAGCAATCCTCCTCAGCCAGCCAAAGTGCTGGGATTACAGGTGTGAACTGCCACACCCAGCCCTTTAAAGTTGTTTTTACCTCATAAAAATGCTTCATAAAAAAGCAATCTGGCCGGGCGTGGTGGCTCACACCTATAATCCCAACACTTTGGGAGGTCAAGGTAGGTGGATCACTTGAGCCCCGGAGTTCAGGACCAGCCTGGGCAACATGGTGAACCATTGTCTCTACAAAAAATGCAACAGTTAGCCAGGCATGGTGGTGTACACCTATAGTCCCAGCTACTCAGGGGGCTGAGGTGGGTGGATCGTTTGAGCCCAGGAGTTGGAGGGTGCAGTGAGCCGAGATCATGCCACTGTACTCCATCCAGCCTGGGTGACAGAGACAGGTGTCTCAAAAAAAAAAAAAAAAAAAAAAGAAAAAAGGAAAAGGCAGTCATATCAGCTTTGCAACCAAACAATAACAAGAATCCTACAGTGTTTCTTAGTTGCGTAAGTTTTATGATTATTAAGACTATCATAGTTTCAGCTATTTAAAAGCCCAACTCAATCACTTAATTATATTAACTGACAAAAAAAAAATCTAGTAAAATGATTAAGGTAAATTACTCTTATTAGAATTCTAACTTTTAATTTAAAAACCCTATATTGGCCGGGCGCAGTGGCTCAAGCCTGTAATCCCAGCACTTTGGGAGGCCGAGGCGGGTGGATCACGAGGTCAAGAGATCGAGACCATCCTGGTCAACATGGTGAAACCCCGTCTCTACTAAAAATACAAAACATTAGCTGGGCATGGTGACGCGTGCCTGTAATCCCAGCTACTCAGGAGGCTGAGGCAGGAGAATTGCCTGAACCCAGGAGGCGGAGGTTGCGGTGAGCCGAGATTGCGCCATTGCACTCCAGCCTGGGTAACAAGAGCGAAACTCCGTCCCAAAAAAAAAAAACAAAAAAAAAAAACCTATATTATGTAAGCATTTAATGGTGTAATTGCCTCTTCCTTTGAAGTATTAGTTCATATAGCTATGTTTTAGGAAATGCCAACTTTATAAAAACTTTTTGAATTTCCCTCGTTAAATAACATACTGTGGGATTTGTTGTACAGCACTGACTAGGGAAAACTACACCTTGAGATTCTGTCTCTTGGAGGGGTTACTTTCTATTTTACAGTCTCCAAGACAATCTTCTAAACCTTGTTTTCTTTCTTTTTTTTCGAGATGGAGTCTCACTCTGTCGCCCAGACTGGAGTCCAGTAGCACTATCTTGGCTCACTGCAAACTCCACCTCCCAGGTTGAAGCAATTCTCCTGCCTCAGCCTCTCGAGTAGCTGGGATTACAGGCGCGTAACACCACACCTGGCTAATTTTTGTTTTTTTAGTAGAGACAGGGTTTTGTCATGTTAGCCAGGCTGGCCTCGAACTCCTGACCTCAGGTGATCCACCCGGTTTGGCTTCCCAAAGTGCTAGTATTATAGGTGTGAGCCACCGCACCCAGCCTAAACCTATTTTTAAAACATAAAATAGCAGCAGTTACCATTTAATGAGTACCCATTATATTCTAGAAAGTGTGCTAGTTTCTACTTAATTTACTAAACTATTCCTTCAAAAGTATGTTGTGTTAACATCATTTTAAACATGTGAAAAATGATACTGGAGAGGGGTTAACCAAACTGCCCTAATTCACACACAGCTAGTTAGTGAAGGCCACAAAGGATGTTCTACATATATTAAAGTTCTAAATCCCATAGACTTGAAATGTATTATGAATTCACAGAAGTGGGAACTTAGTGTGGGCTGAAGCAGAAGAGATAAACTTCAGCAAGGAATAATGTGAGCTGAGCTCAATGATGGGTAGGATTTATTTAACTATAGAGGGAATTTGGCATTTCAGGTATAGGAAACAGTTCCCAAGAGGTGAGACATGGAGGTATCCATGGATACAGAAAGTAGTCGTAGGCCGGGCATGGTGGCTCAGGCCTATAATCCCAGCACTTTGGGAGGCCAAGATAGGTGGATCACTTGAGGTTGGGAGTTTGAGACTAGCCTGGCCAACATGATGAAACCTCGTCTCTACCAAAAATAGAGAAATTAGCCAGGCATGGTGGTAGGCGCCTATAATCCCAGCTACTCGAGAGGCTGAGGCAGAAGAACGCTCGAATCTGGGAGGCGGAGATCGCAGTGAACCGAGATCCTGCCACTGCACTCCAGCCTGGGTGACAGAGTGAGACTTCATTTCAAAAAAAAGTACAATATTTATTCTAAGAAGTAGAAAAATAAAGTTAGACATGTTAACAATAATATTTTTATCATTATTATTACACTACCACTTACTAAACTCTTCACATGTTGAATGTTTAAATTAAGCTTGTTGGTATTATTGCTTTCATCATTACAGCAGTCCTATTAAGTAGGCATTAACACCATTTTGCAAATGGGAAAACTGAGGGTCAGCTGATGGTCAGTAACTTACTGTGATCATGCTAGCCAGTGGGAGAATCCAACCTATGCCTACAGGTCTGTTCCCCAGTCCCAAAGTTAGAATTCATCATCATCATTAAGGGAACCTGCTTACAATATAGGTCTCTGGAATAATTTTAAACAAGAATTATTCAAATATAGGGCGTCCAATATTATTTCAGACAGCACATTCTGAAGATGCTGTGAGGATTATACTTTGAAATCACTGCAACTGGCAGTACTGCCTCAAAGTTGTAAGATTGGAAAATATGGATATGATAAAATACTATAGGTCCTTGGGCAAATAATAATGTTGTAATAGCCAATACTTGTGTAATGCACTATGCCAAGCACTGTTTTAAGCACTTCATACTGAATCTTCAAAAAACCCTCTGAGGGCTAGGCACAGTGGCTCATGCCTGTAATCCCAACACTTTGGGAGGCCGAGACTGGAAGAGCACTTGAGACTGGAAGAGCACACCTGTCGTCCCAGCTACTCAGGGAGGCTGACGCAGGAAGACTGCTTAAGCCCAGGAGTTAGAGGCTGCAGTGAGCTATGATCATGCCACTGTACTCCAGCCTGGATGACAGAATAAGACCCTATCTCTAAAACTAAACTAAACTAAACTAAACTAAACTAAACTAAACTAAACACTATGAGGTAGATACTATTACTATTCTATTTTTAGAGATGAGGAAACTGAGGCATAGACAAGATAAGCAACTTGTCTAAGGTCACATAGCTAGTGTGTGGCATTTGAACCCAATAGTCTCACTCAAGAGTCCATGCCCTTTACTATAGGAGTGTATGAGAAAAACAATGCTTAGCAGGTGAGACAGGTTACAGGGTGTGAGGCATGGAGGCAGAATATAAACTCTGAGACTTTTTATTTGTATTGGCTCCAAACTGAATAAAGCAGCTATTAGAATCACATCTTTATTTCTTAATTGGATTAAATGGAGTGGAATCCACTATAATAAAGACTGTAAAAAATGTTGACCAGGTGTGGTGGCTCACACCTGTAATTCCAGCACTTTGGGAGGCCGAGGTGGGTGGATCACAAGGTCAGGAGTTCGAGATCAGCCTGGCCAACAGGGTGAAACCCAACTCTACTAAAAATACAAAAATTAGCCAGGCGTGGTGGTACAAGCCAATAGTCCCACCTACTCAGGAGGCTGAGGCAGGAGAATTGCTTGAACCCGGAAGGTGGAGGTTGCAGTGAACCAAGATCTCACAAATACACTCTAGCCTGGGTAAAAGAGACAGACTAACTAAAAAAAAAAAAAAAAAAAAAAAAAAAAAAATTAATGTCATTAATAGAAAAAAGAAAAACCTAAAACTTTCAGAGCTGTTTCCAACTCTAAACCCTTCTCTCACTTAGTTGAAATACCATGGATGCCTCAATACTTCCTGCATGGAGCTACATCAAATGCTAAGGATGAGAAAGAAGACCTTCAAAAAAGAAGCCAACCCACTGCCAGTAAGTCAGTCATCTAGCCTGAGGGACAGTCCCTCCTACCCCTCCTACAGCTGCCAATTCCTACAGGAGAAGTGACTCAGCAGCTTCTTTGACAGAATCCTTAAATGATTTAACAAAGGAGTTTAGGGCATAATGAATTTTACCTTCATCTGCTGCCTTTTCTGTTTCAGCACCGACCAACAACTGGAAGCCACAGCCTAAATATGTGCAGAGGAGAAAAGAAAGATTTAAATTTATAGCCATATAAACATTTCCATTTTGAGTAGAAATTCAAAGTTTATGGGTCTAAAAAGTTCGATACATTCATTACTAATAAGAACTAGTCAGGGTCCTCACATTGTTTGAAAATATTAATGAAAAGGTATTTCATTTTTATAAATTTTTAAATCATGAGCAAAGTTGTGTGTTGTAAGGACAAGAAAAAAAGTAAATAACATTTAAAAAATTAAACAAAAAGCCACTAAAGGAAAAAGACTACACTCTGGAACAAGGGAGATTCAATTTTCACAGTTTTAAAGTTCTGTTTTTAAGGGAAAAAAAGTGAAAATATGTGTATATAGAATTCACATACACAAATAAATATTCTCTGTGTAATAATAAAGTAATTTTTTTTTTCTTCTTCTTTTTTTTTTTTTTTGAGACAGGCTCACCCCCATTGCCCAGGCTGAAGTGCAAAGGAGCAATCTCGGCTTACTACAACCTCTACCTCCAAGGCTCAAGTGAACCTCCCACCTCAGCCTCCTGAGTAACTGGGACTACAGGCACGCACCACTGCACCTGGCTAGTTTTTGTATTTTACTGTACAGACAAGGTGTCTCCATGTTGCCCAGGCTGGTCTCGAACTCCTGAGCTCAAGCAATTCACCCACTTGGGCCTTCCAAAGTGCTGGGATTACAGGTGTGAGCCACTGCACCTGGCCTAAAGTAATTTTTTTCTCAAGAACAGTACTATTGGAATATTTGTGAATAGTTAACAGTTTGATCCAAATAAAGAACTAAGAAATACAATCATGATGGGACAAAAGCACCCAGTGGATCCTGAAGATATCTGACTCTTGGAGGTGATTCCAGAAAGAAAAAAAAAAAAAGAAAGAAAAAGAAAAATCTGACCCTACTCTGGAATGACCCAACTTTGATCAAGGTCACTTTAACAGATCAGTTACAGAAATGAAGAACATGTACCTTTCATTATTAAAATATATATTATTTTGGAACTTACTGATATTAAACTTAAAATAATTTAAAATACATTCATTTTTCCTCAATTAAGCTCCAAAATAATTGTGAAATCGCCAACTGGAACCTTTTTTTAAAGGTATCCACATTGCATCATAAAACATGGTATCCACCCTATTTTACTTCCAGGTACACACTTAAAGCCCAACAAAAACCAGTGTCAAACAGATTAGAGAAAAAAAAAACAACAGAAACTAAAGAGAATTTCATCTGAAGATGTTACACTCTATATGCCTAAGCCGATATCAAAGGATGAGTTCAGTTTCTGTAAATTATTCCACAGACAGATAGATATATACGTAAATCTTATTAATCTCCCCAGTTTTGACTTTTCTGTTTTTTTTGGAGATGGAGTTTCGCTCTTGTCCAGGTTGGAGTATAGCTGCACGATTTCAGCTCACTACAACCTCCGTCTCCTGGGTTCAAGCAATTAACACACCTCAGCCTCCTGAATAGCTGGGATTATAGGTGCCCACCACCATGCTAATTTTTATATTTTTAGAAGAGACAGGTTTCACCATTTGGCCAGGCTGGTCTCAAACTCCTGACCTCAAAATGATCCACCTGCCTCAACCTCCCAAAGTGTTGGGATTACAGGCATGAGCCACTGTGCCTGGCCGACCACTTTTTGATCAAACTTAAAAGGCTGAGAAAGGTAAACCACCACTTACTGTTTCTTTGAAGGATGAGTTTAGCCATCGATTATTTACTACATTTTGTATGGATGTGGGTGGGTTTTCCAAATCTTCAAAGGAATCCATTAATATAAAATCCAGAACAACATCATAAAAATTTAGATTTTTCACCTGCATTAAATTATGAGTTGAAACAAAAATTATTATTACATGGAGCTGAAATAAAATCTGAGCCAGGGCTTTATAGTTTTATAACAGCAGAGTTTTTTTAAAAATTTTAATCAGCTTATTCAAAAATAAAAAATAAGAGATAAATATGAAAGCTCACCACCAGAAATTATGATTCACATTATCGCTGCTCCTTCCTAGATCTCAAGTGAAAATCTTTCCTCCTCTCTATTCTAGGAGTCCTTTGTTCATGGTTCTATATAACATCCAGGATGCTCATTCTACTTTGTTATTTAGTTACTGGTATGTGTGCTGCCTTCCCCACCAGATCATAAACATCTTGCTCTTTCATTCATTTATACTTACACACTCTGCATACTACATGCTGTACCAGGTGGTCAGACTTCTAGAGTAAGCAAATTAGATGCCTAGAGTATAGTGGGGAAAACAGCAACAAAATAATCCTGCAAATATCCAGTTATGAACTATGAGAAGCACAATAAAGGAAAAAGTATACTGTGCTCTATTATTTTGGCAGAAATGTGGAGAATGAAACAGAGAGGGGAAAGAGTGAATGCAGGGAGGAAAGGAGTGTGCAGAGAATAAGGAAATAGAAAGACTACTGCTGTAGCCCAGAGAGAAGACAACAGGTGCTTAGGCCAAGAGGGGTTACGGGAAGAGAGGAAAGTTGAAGAAACTGAAAGATATTTAGGAGTTAAAACTGACACTTAGAGATGAATATGATAAAGGGGGTGAGGACCAGGGAGAGGTAAAGGATGAGTCTCAGGCTGCTGGCCTGCAGAACTAAATGGACACTGATTCCATCTCCTGAAAAAGGGAACACTAGGAAAGGAAAGATTATGTCTTCATGTATCTGTACCCACTGTTTTCTCTGCCTAGAATGCCTTTCAGCTCCTTGTAAACTCATTTTTTTTTTTCTTCTGAGACAGAGTCTTGCTCTGCAGCCCAGGTTGGAGTGCATTGGCATGATCTTGGCTCACTGCAGGCTCTGCCTCCCAGGTTCAAGTGATTCTCGTGCCTCAGCCTTCTAAGTAGCTGGGATTACAGACACATACCACCATACTTGACTAAATTTTGTATTTTTAGTAGAGACAGGGTTTCACCACCTTGGCCGGGCTGATCTTCAACTCCCGACCTCAAGTGACCTGCCCACCTTGGCTTCCCAAAGTGCTGGGATTACAGGCATGAGCCACAGCACCTGGTTCTAAATTCTTTTTTTATTTTTATTTTTTGAGACAGAGTCTCACTCTGTCACCCAGGCTGGAGTGCAGTGATGCGATCTCAGCTCACTGCAACCTCCTCCTTCCCTGTTCAAGCGATTCTCCTGCCTCCTTCTGAGCAGCTGGGATTACAAACACATGCCACCATGCCCGGAAAATTTTTGTATTTAGTAGAGATGGGATTTCACCATGTTGGTCAGGCTGGTCTCAAACTCCTGACCTTGTGATTCGCCTACCTTGGCCTCCCAAAGTGCTGGGATTACAGGTGTGAGCCACTGCGCCTGGCTAATATCTATCCATCCATCTTTTTTTTTTTTTTTGAGACAGAGCCTCATTCTGTCACCCAGGCTGGAGTACAGTGGTATGATCTTGGCTCACTGCAACCTCCACCTCCCAGGTTCAAGTGATTCTCATGCCTTAGCCTCCCGAGTAGTTGGGATTACAGGCGTGAGCCATTACACCTGGCTAATTTTTGTATTTTCAGTAGAGACAGGGTTTCGCCACTTTGGCCAGGTTGTTCGTGAACTCCTGACCTCAGGTGATCCACCCAACTTGGCCTCCAAAAGTGCTGGGATCACAGGCGTGAGCCACCACTCCCGGTCCTACATTTATTTCTATATCTATAGCTACATATTTATATTATAAACTGTGAACTTGCACTGATAGCTCTAATTCCAGTCCCAGCTTTTTATACCTCCCTTCTCTGACAGGGAAAATCTGGCTCTGATTTTTCTGTTTACTTATTTGTTCAGTCCTGTGTATACGGCCAATTCCCTAGCCCTACTGAGCTGCTGCTGTTGTACTACCCAAAACTGTCCTTGCATAGGCCACCATTCCTGCTCTGCTAGGGCCCTGCCAATTGACTTTTGGACAGAAGGAAGGGAGATAACAAGGGAAGGAAGGCGGGAGGGAAGGAAGCAAGGAGCCAACAACAGCAAAAAAGGCTTTTAAGAAAACAATCTACAACTATTGTCCCAATGTGTAAGGAGTGTGGTTTATGACTGTCAAAAAAAGGTGTCCTACAGCCATACAATTGGCTTTAGTTTATTTAACAAGGACAAGGAAACAGTAGTCTCAACTCATATAAAATTGCATGCAAATAAGTAACAAAAATAAATATCACAAAAAATTTGAACTTACCCCTCTAGCAGCAAGTTCCATTTCAGTACTACCCCAGTGATCAGTCTGCTCTAAAAAATAGATCATTTCATCAAAAACATCTTCAAACTTCTTTGGATTCTGCAGAAGAAACCACATTTTGACCCTTAACTTTGTAACATTCCACAAAGTTAAGTTACTCTTCAAGTAAGTCTGATGGATCTTAATTCTACTAGGTAACTGGACTAAAATACATTTTAGGTATGCCAAATTTATCTGGTTTACTACTTTGCTGTTGCCACATTTTGCAGAAGCCAAGATGAAGAATGTTAGTAAAATGTCATAAGCAAACTATTTATTACTCAAATATGTATGCCTATTTTGGTTAGTTCTTAAAATGAAAACTTGGTTATAGCAGACATTATGTGAGGCATTTGTTCCAGTTCTGCTTCTTTTGGAAAAAATTACTGAGTTATCTGTCATGAGAAGGCCAAGAAAGCAACCTAAGACTTACACGGGAATCACCCGTATTAATAGTTAGTGTCACCTTACCTATACTTAGCACTTTACATTTACTTAACACTTTATTCTTTAAGTTGCTTTTCCATTTATCATTTATTTAATCATCCTAAAACTCCTCTGAAATGAGGTAATATAAATATAATTCTATTATATAAATGAGAGAATTAAAGTTCAAAGGGATTGAGTCTGAAAACTAGGTGTGCAAGTGGCTCAAGAAAGGCCTGTTTTGTTTTCTCATCATCTGGACAAACCTTGCATAAAGTAAGGTGGATCCTTACAGTCGGAATGAAGGTCTTGTCATTGCTTCTGCCTCATTCAACTCCATGAGGATGAGGCAGCTCAATCTGTACTCCAGATTTCTGAGACCTACACTATTTCTTGTGACCCTCTTCCTGAACAGGATTGAGGGAATAAAAAGAGGAGGCATTAGTAATAATAATAGTGATGGTTACAGCAGCAGAGCTAATGATAATTCTCACCATGACATTCACAGAATTTATGGCAAATTGGAAATACTTATGAGAAACAACTTGGTTGAAATAGTGTGGACTTCAGACATAGTTCAACCCAAGTATAACTCAATGCCCTTTGGGTTATTTATTTTTAAAAAGTGAACCTTTGCCAACTATCTACGAAAACTTTTTCTTCTATTAAAAATTTAATGTCAATCTTCAGTTCAAATGGCAAAAACAACTTTTGTAAATGGTAAAAAACCTGCCAACAGAACAAGTTTACCTTTCGTGCTTTCACAATTAAAGTTGATAAAATTTTCCTTCCACTCTCAGCGAGGAATATCCTGTTGGCTGATTCTGAAAGAATTACCTGAAAAAAAAATTCATCCCCAAAGAAAAAAGAGATCTATAATGAATGTGAATGGACATTCAACTTTACAGCACAAATAATCCTAAAACAGTTAATGCATTGCATGTGGTGCTATTTCAACAGGCAGCTCACAGAGAAAGTCCTGATTTACTAAAATAAAAAGAACTGTAAAAACCTATACTTAAAAAAAGATTAAAGGGAGTTAAATTTGAATTTAATTCTGTTCAACATAATATTATTACAAAGTCTCAAAATTTCCTATAGCCCCCAAACATAATAAAACAAATATAATTTTATTTTCTTTTTAGAAAATCAATTTTATAATTTATTCAAATTAAATCTCAAATACACATTAATTAATAAGAGGGTTTTTATTTTAAGCAGCTATTCTTACATTCCTGAAGCATCAAAATATCCTGTTTTGACAAAGTGTGGTGGGCCTGGGAAGCCGTGGGAGAGGATAACGCAATACAGAAACAAATGAAGGTAAGCGGCGGGGAGGAAAAATAAGTTCAGTAGACCTTATATTTGTCATTAGGATTAGGGATCATCAAGAGCACAGAGCTGTCCTGTTTATTTGCACTGGACTCTATAGCATGAGGGTGAGGATGAGTGGCTGGGTGAAGTCACTTAATGTTAAAAAAAAATACCTGAAAAGCCTGTCGAATACAGTGAAGTTTGGCAAGAAAATCACTGTCTCCGAGGCACTCCAACATTTCAGTTCTATGTAATAAACAGGGGAGACAATTGTTAAACTCCATTCAAGATCAAGCCTACTATAAATTTGGATTCAAACAAGGCTTAACCTCAGGACCTTAATATAAAACATGTTTTTTCAATACTGACAGAACATGTAAAAAATAATTTTTTCTTTACTTGGACCTAAAAACATATTTTCCCCTACTCTCATAAACATTTTTAATAAATATCACTCAAACACTTTAATATCCTTCATAAACATAAACAAAACTGAAATGGTACCTCAGTACTCTGGAGTAAATTTTTCCTTCTTCAACTAAATGCATGGCTTCCTCATAAAACGGGCAGTGACACAGGGACTCCAAGCTGTAGGTATGCCGTACTTCTCTGTGTTCTGCAAGCTAACAGCGCAGTGATTAGAACAGAATACAGGGTAGGTGCAGTGGCTCATGCCTGGTAATCTCAACACTGTGGGAGGATCATCTGAATCCAGGAGTTTGAAACCAGCCTGGGCAACACAGTGAGACCCAGTCTCTACAAAAACCTAAGAAAATTAGTCAGGTATAGAGGCATGCACCTGTGGTCCTAGCTACCCAGGACGTTGACGTGGGAGGATCACTTGAGCACAGGAAATCGAAGTTGCAGGGAGCTGTGACTGTATCATTGCACTCCAGCCTAGTTGGCAGAGCCAGACTCTGTCTCAAAAAAAGAAAAGAAAAAAAAAAAAAGCAGAATACACTGATAGAAGAAAACCTATACAAGAAAGAAAACAGGATTTTGCTAACATCAAAATACACTAAATTTGATTAAACCATAAAAATGATTCAATAGGATTTTACAGCTAATAAAATCTGAATTCATTTTATTTCAAAATTCAGTTGTAAAAAGAGTAGAACTTTTTTTTTTTCTTTTCTTTGACGAGATTGGGCGCATTCAGGAAGGTAAAAGAGTAAAACTTTTAACAAGCTTAGTTCATTCTGAATCCAATTACTTAAATCCATAGAATGTACAGAAAAGAAATACTATAACTTTATTTATTTATTTTTTTGAGACAGGGTCTCATTCTGCTGCCCAGGCTAGAGTACAGTGGCGTGATCATGGCTCACTGCAGCCTCCACCTCCCAGGTTCAAGCAGTTCTCCTGCCTCGGCCTCCCTAGTAGCTGGGATTATAGGCACATGCCACCACACTCAGCTAATTTTTGCATTTTTAGTAGAGATGGGGTTTTGCCATGTTGGTCAGGCTGATCTTGAACTGGCCTCAAGCGATCTACCTGCCTCAGCCTCCCGAAGTGCTGGGATTACAGGTGTGAGCCACCATGTCCGGCCAGCAATACTATATCTTATAGTTTACCAATAAGAACAATGGAAGAAGCATGTTTTAAAAAGAGGAGGAGAATTTTATCATCCAAAGAGTACTTAAAAGTATTATAACCTGTGATTATAATGATGCAAAACTTAGTACAAAAACTTAACAAGCTCAATGTTGCTATTTTAAGAAATATTTCCTTGTTTGTGGCTTTGATTAACTTTTGTATAACAAAGATAGTTATGCTTTTGGTTAGCATAACAGCTCTACAAATGAAATTCCAATCTTCTGACAGTTCATTAAAAAACAATTGCAAACAGTATAGAGTAGCCAGCTAAGCAAAAAAACAAAACAGAACCCAGAAAACTTCTAGAGTGTTTTGTTTGGAAGATACAGGATCTCATTCAGTCACCCAGGCTGTAGTGCAGCGGCACTATCATACCTCTGTAGCCTCAAACTCTTGGGCTAAAGTGCTCCTCCTGCCTCAGCCTCCTGAGTAGCTGGAACTACAGGTACGCGACACCACATCCCACTAATTTAAAAAAATGTGTAGGGGCAAGGTCCGGGTCTGGTGGCTCATGCCCATAATCCCAGCACTTTGGGAGGCTGAGGCGGGCAGATCACCTGAGGTTATGAGTTCAAGACCAGCCTGGCCAACAATTGTTAAACTACATTCAAGCTACTCTGTCTTTAAATAAATAAATAACAAAGCAAAAACAAAACAAAGGACATATGCAACAAAGAGTACAATGAATGTAACGGTACCTCACATTTCAGTACTAAAAACTGAAATTATAGCAGGCACTCTCTCAGACCAGTGGAATAAAACTGGAAATCGACGCTAAAAGGGACCTTCAAAACCAGGCAGATACACAGAAGTTAAATAACCTGCTGCCGAATGAGCATTGGGTCAAAAACAAAATCAAGATGGAAATTTTAAAATTCTTCAAATTGAATGACAAAATGACACAACCTATTAAAACATCTGCGACACAGCAAAGGTGTTGCTAAGAGGAAAGTTCATAGGCCCAACATCAAAAAGTCTGAAACAGCACAAACAATCTAAGGCCATACCTCAAGGAACTAGAAACAAGAACAAACCCAAACCCAGAGGAAGAAAGAAAATAACCAAGATCAGAGTAGAACTAAATGAAATTGAAACAAACAAAAAAATACAAAAGATAAATGAAACAAAAAGCTGGCTCTTTGAAAAGACAAATAAAACTGATAGACCTTTAGCTAGATTAACCAAGAAAAGAGGAGAGAAGAATCCCAATAATCTCACTAAGAAAAGAAAAAGGAGATACTACAACTGACACCATTGAAATACAAAAGATCATTCAAGGTCACCATGAACACCTTTACACACATGAACTAGAAAACCTAGCAGAGATGGATAAATTCCTGGAAATATACATTCTTCTTGGCTTAAATCAGGAAGAATTAGATACCCTGATCAGACCAATAACACACAGCAAGACTGAAAGGGTAATTTAAAAATTACCAACAAGGCTGGGTCCAGTGGCTCAGGCCTGTAATCCCAGCACTTTGGGAGGCCGAGGCAGGTAAATCATGAGGTCAGGAGTTCGAGACCAGCCTGGCCAACGTGGTGAAATCCTGTCTCTACTAAAAACACAAAAAATTAGCTGGGCATAGTGGTGGGCGCCTGTAATCCCAGCTACTCAGGAGCCTGAGGCAGGAGAATCACTTGAACCCGGGAGGCGGAGGTTGCAGGGAGCCAAGATTGTACCACTGCACTCCAGCCTGGCCAACAGAGTGAGACTTCATCTCCAAAAAAAAAAAAAAATTACCAACAAAAAAAGGTCCAGGGACCAGATGGATTCACAGGAGAATTCTACCAAACATTCAAAGAAGAATTGGTACCAATCCTTTCAACACTATTCCACAAGACAGAGAAAGAAGAACTCTCCCTAATTCAATCTATGAAGCCAGCATCACCCTCATACCAAAACCAGGAAAGGATGTAACCAAAAACAAAACTACAGACTGGTATCCTTGATGAACATAGATCTAAAATCCTTAACAAAATACTAGCTAACTGAATGCAACAACATATCAAAAAGATAATCCACCATGATCAAGTGAGTTTTATACCAAGGATACAGGATGGTTTAACATACACAAGTCAATAAATGTAATACACCATATAAACAGAATTAAAAACAAAAATCACATGATCATCTCAATAGATGCAGAAAAAGCATTTGGCAAAATTCAGAATCCCTTTATGATTAAAACTCTCAGCAAAATTGGCAATCAAGGGACACACCTTAATGTAACAAAAGCCATCTATGACAAACCCACAGCCAACATAATACTGAATGGGGAAAAACATTCCCTCTGAGAATGGGAATAAGACAAGGAGGCCCACTCTCACCACTCCTCTTCAACATAGTACTGGAAGTCCTAGCCAGAGCAATCAGACAAGAGAAAGAAATAAATTTAGGGCATCCAAATCCGTAAAAAGGAAGTCAAACTGTCACTGTTTGCTGAGGATATGATTGTTTACCTTGAAAACCCTAAGAACTTGTCTAGAAAGCTCCTAGAACTGATAAAAGAATTCAGCAAAGTTTCCAGATACAAGATTAATGTACACAAATCAGTAGCTCTTCTATACACCAACAGTGACCAAGCAGAGAATCAAATCAAGAGCTCAACCCCTTTTACAATAGTGCAAAAAATAATAAAATACTTAGGAATATATCTAACCAAGAAGTCAAAAGACCTCTACAAGGAAAACTACAAAATACTGCTGAAAGAAATCAGAGATGACACAAACAAATGGAAACACATCCCATGCTCATGGATGGGTGGACTCTATATTGTGAAAATGACCATACCACCAAAAGCAAGCTACAAATTCAGTGCAATCCCCATCAGAATACCAACCATCATTCTTCAAAGGATTAGAAAAAACAAGTCTAAAATTCATACAGAACTAAAAAAGGGCCCTCATAGCCAAAGCAAACCTAAGCAAAAAGAAATCTGGAGGCATCACATGACCTGATTTCAAACTATACTATAAGACCACGGTCACCGAAACAGCATGGTACTGATATAAAACTAGGACACAGACCAATGGAACAGAAGAGAAAATACATAAATAAACTCAAATAGTTACAGCCAACTGATCTTCGACAAAGCAAACAAAAACATAAAATGGGGAAAGGACACCCTTTTCAACAAATGGTGCTGGATAATTAGCTGGCCACATGTAGGAGAATGAAACTGGATTCTCATCTCTCACTTTACACAAAACTCAAGATGGATTGAAGACTTAAACCTAAGAACTGAAAGTATAAAAATTCTAGAAGATAACATTGGAAAAACCCTTCTAGACATTGGCTTAGACAAGAATTTCATGACCAAGAACCCAAAAGCAAATGCAATAAAAACAAAGAAACAGCTGGGACCTAATTAAACTAAAGAGCTTTGGCACAGCAAAAGGAATAGCCAGCACAGTAAACAGACAACCCTCAGAGTGGGAGAAAATCTTCACTATCTACACATCTGACAAAGGACTAATATCCAGAATCTACAATGAACTCAAACAAATCAGTAAGAAAAAAAACAAACAATCCCATCAAAAAGTGGGCTAAGGATATTAACTGACAATTCTCAAAAGAAGATATATAAATGGCCAACAAACATACGAAAAAATGCTCAACATCCCCAAAATCAAAAAACAGTCAATGTCGGCATGGATATGGTGATCAGGGAATACTTCTACACTGCTGATGGGAATATAATTAGCACAGCCACTATGGAAAACAGTGTGGAGATTCCTTTAAGAACTAAAAGCAGAGGAAAAAAAAAAAGAAAAGAAAAAACAAAAAAAAGAAAAAAGAACTAAAAGTAGAACTACCATTTGATCCAGCGATCCCACTACAGAGTATCTACTCAGAAGAAAAGAAGAGTCATTATTAACAAAGAAGATGCCTACACACGCATGTTTATAGCAACACGATTCACAATTGCAAAATCATGGAATCAACCCAAATGCTCATCAATCGACAAGTGGATAAAGAAACTGTGGTATGTATATACAAAGGAATACTATGCAGCTTTAAAAA